AGCATTAAAATAAGCAGTGCATAGGACAGGAGTTAGTACATGTTTGATTGGTGCTCTCTCTAGCTCACTTTAAAAAAATCCATCAGTCAGGGGCACTGTTTAAAGGTCCCTTTTACTATAAATAAATGTTGAGTTTAGTACTTAATCACACTTAATATTATTGTTTAACTCTTTCACCAATGTTAGCTCTGTGACCACAAATGAAACCGTGATTTTTTTTTTTTCGCAAGAACAAAAGTCATTTTTATTTGGTTCATGCAAGATGTCTGCCCAAATTCTCACTGGTGTTTTTCTCTGCTTAGGTTTGTACTGGAGTCCCACAGCTCATAGCATTCTTTTGGGACTCATCTACACCGTGGCCCCAGAATGTGAGAGTATATGTTCTCTGATCAACACCCTTAAATCCAGTGTCTTTTTCTCTGGCCATACTCTTTGAATCAGTAGTTATCTATTCCCTAATTTCTCTCGGAATCACTCAATGTTTAATTTTTACATCACAGACTTGCTGTAGGTCCTCAAAGGTGAGTATTGCTACCTTTGTTGGCCCTCATGGGGATTTTAGCTCTTAACTCAGGTGTGATACAGTTCTCAACATACACATGCAATTTTATGGCTCAGTGATCTAGAAAGAAAGATAATGGAGAATATCAAATAGCCAATTGTTGTAAAATCACATTTCCTAGGTTAATGTTTGTGGTAGAATATACCAGTTGCCTCATGTGTCCATTCTGTCCTTCTTGTTTAGTAATACAGCTTCCAAATTGTTGTGGGCATATGGCTGCCCAGTTGAAGATTAAAATACTGGACATATTTGTAACTGCATGTAGCCATGCAGGTATATGTTGGCAAGAATAGTCACAGGGAAGAAATGTGTAGGACTTTTGGGTCATGACCTTGAGGGCATGAACCTGTTTGCTTCCTCTGCACTTGATGGGAAATGAACATGGTAGGAGAAACTAGAGCCCTTTAGACCAAAGAGCAGACGTTGTCCATTGAGCTGACAGCACATAAGTGGCAAGCTAGGTTTGGTTCATACACTCTGATGCATTGTCTTAGCTCACATGGCTAGTGCTGCCTTCCTATCATACCCACATTCCAGCCCACTGAAAAACAGATGGAGGAAATGGAGAGTGGATGATTTTCTCTGAAGGATGAGAAAGATGTTGCAAGTTTCCCTTGGTGAAAAATTAATCAAACCTGGCTTAAAGGAAAGCTTAGAAATGTACTCTTTGGTTGAGCAGCCTGGGTTTTTCCAACATAGGAGTGGTATATGGATTAAAAATGAAAAGGAAGCAGGAGAGAAAAAACTAGTTCTCTCTGCTACAGCATGGATCTGACCAGGAGCAGCTCAGTTTACCCAGGAATGTAGTCAAATAAGCAATATTCATCATATAGTATGATATGTGTACTAACATGTTGTAGTGAACATATGCAAGCACATGTGCTTCTGTGACATACAGACATGAGAGCAAGAATTGTGGTTGTAGAGTAGGGTGGTGACACTAGAACAAGTCCTTCAAGACCCAATAGGTATTTATTGTACAGATGCACAGAGGATGAGAATCTGTTGCAGAGAGACCCATTGAGTTGTGTAAGGATGGGCAAGTTCATGCTGTACTTAGAACCAGCTTGAAAGTTCAGCAGCTTAAAACCAGTGAGGGTGGTTTCTGGATTAGATACAGCTCTGCAGGAGTTCAGTTTCTTGAAACCAGAGGGGTGCCCGCTGTCTACCGAATCATGTGACCCTGCAGCAGTGAAAGGCTCTCGTGGCCAGAGTAGCCCTGGCTGTGACGACTTTTCCTCATAACCACAGTCCTTGCTTTTGCACACATTTCCTGTGGCTCCTGCATCCCATATAGATACCAGTTCATGTCTCAACTGCTTCTCTTCTGATGTAGCTCCCTGCTATGGCTAGGAAAGTGAAAGATGGCGCAGTCCTTGGGCCCCTGCAGCCATTAGGAGGCCTGATAGACAGTCTGCCATTGAGTCCTAATATCAAGATGATTTTTCATGTTATTGGAGAAAATAGTTCAGTTGATCTCTGCTTAAGAATGGATCTTTCCTACAAGCCATAATGAGTTTTCCCTTGGGAATTTTACAGCTAGGTTATTTGGCCTTACAGAATTTTCTTTATTAAATAAAATGTGTTTCTGCATTTACAGAAATTTTATTTTCTGTTGTTTTTGAAACAATTGGTTTTGGGGATCTGTGTTGTGACTCAATGTGTTAAGCCGGCACCTGCAATGCCAGTATCCCATATGGGTGCTGGTTTGTGTCATGGCTAGCCTCTTCCAACCCAGCTCCCTGGTAATGAATTGGGGAAATGACAAAAGATGGCCCAGATATTTGGACCCCTTCTATCTCATAAGAGACCCAAAAAAGCTCTTTGCTCTTGACTTCTGCTTCATTCAACTTTTGATTTTTTGTGGTCCTTTGGGAAGTTAACCAGTAGATGGGAGATCTCTCTGTCTCTGTGTCTCTCTCTCTCGCTCTCTCTCTGTCTTTCTTCCTGTCCCTGTCTCTCTCTTCACCCTGTGACTCTGCTTTTCAAATAATAAAGAATAAATAACTAAATAAATTGGTTTTGACCTAACTTTGTAAAATTCTGGGTCATTTTTTAAATTGTTGAACACCTGCTAAATCCTCAAGACATGTTCATCTAATCCAATTGTTACTATGTATGTGTATTGCAATGTTTCCACAGACAACCAAAAGTAAGGTAATAAAATATAAAAATAGTGGCTGGCACTGTGGCACAGCAGGTTAAAGCCCCAGCCTGAAGCATCAGCATTCCATATGGACGCCTGTTCTAGTCCTAGCTCTCTGCTATGCTTGGGAAAGCAGTAGAAGATGTCCCAAGTTCTTGAGCCCCTGCACCTGCTTAGGAGACTAGCAAGAAGTTCCTGGCTCCTGGCTGCTGGCTCTTGACTTCTGATCAGCTCAGCTCTGGCTGTTGCGGCCATTTGGTGAGTGAACCAGCGGATAGAAGACCTCTCTGTGTGTTTGTCTCTACCTCTCTCTGTAACTCTGCCTCTCAAATAAATAAAAATAAATCTTTAAAAAATATAAAAATATATTATCTATGTGAATATTCTACATTTTGACAAGAAAGTATAGTTTCTCTTGTAAGTTAATAATCTGAAGTTTTATTGTATATGTGGCTGAATTTTGTATTATGGGGAAAACATTAGCAAACTCAAGTATTCTTCCAATTTTCTCATGTTGAACATGAAAGAAGAAATTAACTTCAAATTCTAACTTTATTTTTATACAGCTCACATGGAAAATTCCAGGAAAATACTCTTCAAATCCATTTCAGATTGCTGCCCTGTGGGAAATTCCATGTGACTATATTATTCTTGCGAAAGGACATAGCTTGAATATTCTATTGTTCAGTGTATCCATTGTTCATCATCACATTTATAAATAAGAATCTGATCTCCAGTCAGCTGCCTACATTATTGCTAGTCTTGAGTCTAGAGTGGTTTGTTATTTTCATCACCTCTAAAGAATAAATATTTATCTGCATACAGATGAAAATAATTTAAGTAAAAACTATGGATTAAGATTTCAAAGAAGATCTCATTAAAGAAGCAGCTACATTCTAAGAGATGATGTATATATTTAAGCTACATAATTCTTAAATAGCATAATACATATATAGGTTACTTTGTGTTTCTTAAATAACATGAGACTAAGAGTACATGCATAGGAATTTGAAAGGTTCCATTTGCCTTGCATTTTATTAACTTATATATTCTTTTTCTGTATATATATATTTTATATACCGACCCAAAAGAGAGATTCAAAATTGGTTAAGAAATTAAAATCTGAAACCAATTCTAAGAAAATCTCTTAGGATTATTAACCTGAAGAAGAGGAAATAGAAATAAACCTCCAATACAGTCAGGAATGTTTGAAGGGTAATCACGTAGCATAGCACGGTGGGGCAGGTGCAGCTATAAACTGCATCTTTTGCTGGGAAAAGCTCAAAGGAAAATCACCTTTAGGGGCATTAGGAGGGGAGTAAATTGAATAAAAGAATAAGCTCCCTTCTTGAAAGCAGTGAATATTATATATTTTTAAATTCTTTTTCTAGAAGACTTTTTAAAATAAGATTCACTTACTTAAAATAGCTTAAAATTTTCTACACAAAGACTAATCTATGGTTAGATATATTGAAGTCACCTCTAGAACTTCAAGTTCATGAAAGTAAGAAATTCAATTCCCAAGGTCTTTAAACTGAAGTATAGCTACAGCAACTCTAGAAAAAACACAAAGCCCTAAACATCATTTTCTTTAAAATTCTGCAATGGTAAAAATCAGAAAGTAATATGTATTCTGAATAATGATTTTTAATCCCATTAGGAAGCAACTCATTGTTTCTGTTTTGCACATTATGGTTTCAATTTTAAGATATCTCCGTGGCTGTAAACATTTTAACTATGTTTCAAGTTTTGATAGAACAAAAGTGTTTTTAATTCCATTAGAGAATATAGTATTTTTTTCCCTTAGTGATGTACTGGTTCTTTAGCTTGGACCATATGTTTTCCAGACTCTATTTAAATATTTACAATCCTGTTCACTTGCTGTCCTTGCAGACATCTATTGCTCTACCTTATGGGCTGGTTATCTACAGGCACAGGGAAAGGACACTACGTTTAAGCTGCCTGAGAGTCGGAGGATCCAGGACTCCCATGAGAGATATACAAAGTGAAGCCTCAACAAAAATATTTTGAGTTTTCCCCACTCTTAAAGAATCCCCAGGGTTCCCGTGAACTGTGTGTCACACTCGTAATTGGCATAGCAAGGTATGTTGATCTCCTGATGCCTGATGAGGGTGAGGCGCTCATTACACTTAGTGTAGGTTTTTTTGTTTTGATTTGCTTTTTCGGTTGCTGATCTAGATTGAAATTGAACGTGTCATGCTGGAGTGCGTGTGTCCCGGTTCTGAATCGCTTCTCTTCTCGTTGCTATAGTGACCAGCCGACATCAGAAGGGAAGTGGGGAAGAGTCTGCGTTTCAGCGGGCACGTCCATCTGGCACCCCTTTAAGCAGCAGCTCTCTTTACTTCCCTCCCTCCGAATCTTCATGCAGCAAGGAGAGTGATCCAGTTTTTGCAGCTTCAGCTTTTATTCTTAGAACTTTTAAACATTAAATCTGTGAATAATTTTAAAGTAATGATTGGTAGCAAGGCCAGGATGTAAGGGACCGGAAAAGATGGCTTATATTCTGGAGTACAGCTTTCTCCTTATTGAAATATTCTTTGTTTTTTTACCAGATTTATTTCAATTTTAAAGCCATGTTTCCCAACCAAGAACAAATTTGCACCCCACAAGACACTTGGCCAGGTCTGGAATACGTTCAATTACCAAAAAGAAGTGGGGGCAGCAGCTGGCATCTGGTGAGTAGAAGCCATTCCAAGACCCCCAAAACCTGGGTGCATCCACCCAACGTACAGCAAGCCAATCACTGACCTCAGGGTGGTAGAAGGAAGGCGGTTTTACTGCAAAGTGTAGTGCAAAGGCTATGCAGCCTTGGCTTAATCCCCAGGCTCCTCCATGGGTTAAGGGAAAAAGTTCTTACAGACTGAAGTTGGATTTGAAAGGCTCAACTTGTGTACCATTCCCCAGTGCTCATGATCCATCTTTGAATGGTCAGTGATAGCATGTTCTTCTGGGAATTTACATGATGTTAAAGTGGATTTCAGTCAATCATGTGGTAGCTACTTCTTTCTCAGGACCTGGGGTTCCTGGAAAAACAGGACAAGATTGTACCACTCCTTTGATTTAGTGAGTTAATTTTAGTAAACACAGAGCAAAGAAACGTTAAGCTCAGGGAGGAAGGTGGGAGACCATAAGAGTGGGACCTCATAGCATCCAGCATCTGCTTCAGAGGCTCTGTGGAGAGGCATGCTTGTGAAGTTAGGGATATTGTGGAACACACCAGAGCGCATAATGAATTCTCTGACTCCGATGCTTGTAGTACCAAGGTTGTGGAACTCTGCTTTGATGGTAACTGTACTCAATCTAAAGATTTACTTATGGTACCTTTTGTATTTGAAAGGCAGAGTGATAGAGCAAGAGCGAGAGCGAGAGCAAGAGCGAGAGAGAGAGAGATTTTCCATCTGCTGATTCACTCTCTAAATGTTTGCAACAGTCAGGACAGGGCCAGGCTGAAGCCAGAAGCCAGGAACCCTGTATGGGTCTTGCACATGAGTGACAGGGGTCCAAGTACATGGGCTATCATCTACTGGTTTTCAAGGGCATTAGCAGGAAACTGGAAAAGACGCAGAGCTGCCAGGAATCCAACATGGTTTTGATACGGGATTCTGCCATTACAAATGGAGTTTTAACCTGCTGCTCACAACGCTGGTGCAAACTGTGCTCAATGTGAATAATGATACCACATTGGTTATTTTATTTTATTAATGATACCACATTTGGTTATTGGTTTTTGAGTGAATATGTCTGGATAAGGACCAATATTATGCATCATTTTAAAGGGAGAATGACATAGGATCCCTTTAAGGGTAATCTTTTGCATTCCCAGTGTCTTCATTCTCTCTCCTTTTCTGACATCATTCTTTTGCTTATCCTCTGAGAATCATTAGAGAACCATTGCTCCACATCCATGAGTGTTAAGGCCAGCCATCCTAACACCAGCTCTGTTAGAGTTGCACAGACCCAGATCTTTCCAAGAAGCATCTCCTTGACAGTGGATTCTGACTCGGCAATGGGCAAGTGGAACAGAAAAGGCCATTGAGACACCATGGGAACTTTGCTGTGCTCATGATGTGGTACACACTTAACTAAAAATGCAGGCATGGGGCTGGTGCTGTGACATAGTGCATAAAGCCACCACCAGCAATGCCAGCATCCCATATGGGCACCAGTTCAAGTCCTGACTGCTCTACTTCCAACCCAGCTTTCTGCTATGGCCTGGGAAAGCAGTGGAAGATGGTGCAAGCCCTTGGGTCCCTGCATCCACATGGGAAACCTGGAAGAATCTCCTGGCTCTTGGCTTCAGATCTGCGCAGCTCCAGCTGTTACAGCCAATTAGGGAGTGAACCAGCGGATGGAAGACCTCTCTCTCTCTCTCTCTCTCACTGCCTCTGCCTTCTGCTTTTCAAATAAATAAATAAATAACTCTTTAAAAAATAAAAAATGAAGGCAGCACAGAGACAAAGCAGGGCCTACAGGAAGAGGAAAACCAACCTGTGCAGAATTTGAACCTCTGGACCAACTCCACCAGATACCCAGAGATATTTTAGTTCTATGCCTCAATAAATTCTTCTTCTTTTCTGTTTAAGCCATGTTGATTTCATTTTCTGCTGCTCATAGCACAAAGTGCTGGAAATGTAATGAGAAAAAATAGAAATGTTGCAATAGCTGAAAAATCAGAAGATATTTGTGTCTTAGAAAATGATGTGCACACTCCTTTTTATCTTTCCTTTAATATGTAAACTTAATTTAAAAGAGATGTTTCAACCAATTTAGCCAATTTGTTTCTCATCTGACACTCGTTTTTTATCTCCTAATGGTTGTGCTACATTTTGGAGGATTGACGCTGGTTCCACAGAGAGTTGATTTCCTTTGTTCTTAATATCACAGAATAGCCTTCCAAGGAAGAAAAGAAAATGTTCTCTCACTGTTATCCATTGTGTAGTGAAAGTGATTGACTCACTAAACATCGACCATGAGACCAGTCAATCCTGTTGATTCAACAAAAGTATCACCTGCCATCAGGAAATCTTTTCAGCTCCTGAAGCTGACTTGCAAAACATTTGTAATCTGCATGCCTGGAAATGCTGAGTGTGGTTATGGTTCTTTATTTCCCTTATTGAATAATGATTTCAGAAATAAGGGAGAGGAAATCAGTCAATCCCAAAACCAACCTTGAACTGTAAACAGTATTTAAAAACTACGCAACATTATATTTCTGATTCTGGGACTCAGCACCCCTTCGGCATTGTCTAAACCATTGTCAGTTATAGAAGGATTGTGAATTAAAATGAAATCATCAGAATTTTGGAAATTTAAGCTTTAATTATAAGGTAGAATACACTGAGATTTTTAAATCTAAGTTATCAGGAGAATCTAAGTGGCCATTAGTAATGCAAAATTTGGGAGCAGTTTTTATTTGTATACAAATGTTTTATTATTAAAACACTCATCTCTAAAGCTGGTTGTATATGGGAACTACTTGAATTTTTTTTTAATTACTGATAATTGGGGTATGTGATATAGAATATTCTCTGTGTTTGGAATGTCTCAAGCCTCTCTGTAGGGCCAATATTTTGGCAGAGCAGCTTAAGCCACTGCTTGTGGGCTCACAGGCGTCCCTTATCTGAGTGCCTGTCCCAGTTCCATTGGAATCCTGGCTGTTACGATTCTGATGTCCCAGAGAGGGCAGAAGGTGGCCCAAGTAGTCGGGCCCCTGGCACACATGTGGGAGATCAGTATGGAATGCCTGGCTCCTGGCTTTGGACTGGCCCAGACCTGGGTGTGTTGCAGTCATTTGGGGAGTGAATTAGAAGACGAAAGGTCAATCTCTCTCTCGCTTACTTACTCTGCCTTTCAAATCAATCAATCAATCAATGAATAAACAAATATTTAATTAAAAAAAACCTCTCCAGATGATCCTAGTGTTCATAGTTTGAGAATCATTGCTATAAGTCACTATTCTGCAGGGCTTTAAAATAAGATTTATTTTTATTTATCTGAAAGGCAGAGGCAGAGGCAGAGGCAGAGGTAGAGGTAGAGGCAGAGGTAGAGAGAGATCTTCTATCCACTGATTCACTTCCCCAGTGGCTGCCATGGCTGGGGCTGGGCCTGGCCAAAGCCAGGAGCTTCTTCCATGTCCCACGTGGATGCAGGGAGCCAAGCAATAATCAAATTTGACCTGTAAAGGACACTATAATATAATGAAGATTCCTTGAGAGCTGTTCTTCCTGCCAGTGCTACCTTCTTTGCAAAATGAGCAGAAGTGGGGCTCCCGGCCTGCTGGTCTCACAGCCTCTGACTCTGTCCAAATGGTTAAAGTTTGTGCAAAATGGCAAAGCCTGACTTTTATAATCTCACTCACATTCTCAGCACTTCCACTCCCATCCTTCTGGGCAGCTGGCCCAGCTGGTAACCTCCTGCAAGCTGTCTCTCTGCCTCCAGTTCTTTTATTCTAACTAATGAATAATACAGTTTTAACTAAATGGGCTCTTGAGATCTTGCTCCCCAAGTCACACCTCAGAGAAGGCGCCTCCTAGCCAGCCCTTTGTGGACATTTCAGAAAGAGCATTCCCATCTTCAGGCTGCAGGTGGAAATCTTCCTTCCTTCACTTTCAGGTCCATATTCTACTGCTAGCTGACCGTTACTCACAGCACTGCCATTTTCCAAAATCAGACCATCCATGCCCTAAAGAATTAGTTTCAACAAAAACTCCAATTTCTAGGTCTCAACAAACATTACTCAGATTAGGTCTAGTCTAAAGAATAGACACTCTAGAAGTAACAGTAGGAAGAGAACTTTCTTTTCTTTTTTTTTAAAATTTATTATTTTTTTTTGACAGGCAGAGTGGACAGTGTTTTCTTAGCAGCAACATCTAACACACTCCCAAATGCGGTCTTCTTGGTTGAAGATTTTCATTAAGTTTGGGAAGCATGGGGCATCTTTTAAGGGGCATGTTTGAGGAAAAATGGGTTTGTTCTAGAGTTAAATAAAACATATGCATCTGGCCAACTGAGGCAGGTAAGTTGAGCTAGAGATGGGAGAGAAGAGCATTGACAGCTGTGTCAGGAAGAGGGGACAGAGATGGTTTTGCTAATTGAGAAAATATTTTTTTCAGGAAGGTGCATACAGATCACCTTAGTACACTTCCGTGTGAAGTGCACTAGGACCCCTCTTCCCACCTCTTCATGGTGACTATCCATGTCTCACAAGCGTACTGGGGTATCCTGGTATCTATTTCATAATTTTAGAAGGTAAATTACACTGCATCTCTGCAGGCTTCCTAGTGAGTCACAGGATCCAAGGTGGCTTCTCTCTGACCTCACCATTCTTTGCTCCTGCCCCCTCACTGTACTTGGCATCCCATATTTCCTTCCTTGTGGCGTTTGCTTCAGCTATTCCTCCTTTCTAGAACATTCTGCCCTGAATTATCTGCTGGCTTATTTCTCCCTTTATTTCTCCAGCTTTTGCTACAATGCCTCAGTTGCTTGATTTAAATCCAATGGGACTCAAAATGGCCCATTTTCCCAGTGATGGATCTTTGGCATCGAGAACATATTTGTTGAAGAAATGAATGCCCAGAAGTGAACGCCCACCAAGACTGCAAGCTGCCCACAGAAAACCAGCCCAAGCCACATCATCGGAACCCTGTTTGTCATTGCTGTTTCTCACTAGGGAAGGTAAATTAAGTAGATTGGAAATGGATGAATTTTTCCTAGGTGATCTTCCTTCCTCAGCTCTCATCTCTATTTATTTGAAAGGCAGAGACAAATGGAAAGAAGGAAAGGAGAGAGAGAGAGAGAGAGAGAGAGAGAGAGACACCTTATATCTGCAGGTTTTCTCATCAAATGGACACAACAGCCAGGTCTAGCCAAGCCAAAACCAGCAGCCAGGAACATAATCTGGGTCTCCCACGCAGTTGATAGGGGCCCAAGCACTTGGGTCATCTCTGCCTTCCCAGGTGCATTGGCATGGAACTGGCTCAGAAGTGGAGCAGCCAGGACTCAAACCAGCTCTTCATCTGATATAAGATGCTGGCGTCACAAGCAGTGGCTTATTCGGCTGTGCTGCAGTGTTGTCCCTCTCATCTTTTTTAGGATATCTAGTTTCTTCAAGTCCAGTCTAAAATAATATGTGAAGCAATAACACTAAGTCCCTTAAGATAGTCTGAGGCTCCCCTGGCAGGTGTCTCTGTGTTCTTAATAGCTTTGTCCCTCCTGTACCAGGAGCCTTCATTGATAAGCCCCCTACCCCTCACCAGGCACATTCTGTAGATGTTGTTTTGGGTTTTGACCTCTGCTCATTTCTTTGGATTTAACACTTGGTCCTCCTGTCTCTCTCTTCAAGTTGAGGCGCATTCTTGGTTTCTCTCTTTGCTCATACTTTGCATAGGGCCAAAAAGATCAGACTCCCAACACTGGCTCTTTTCTGTTACACAGCTGTGTAGTCTTGGTCCTGCTATTTACATACTCTCAGATTCAGTTTTTGGCCCAGGATATATTATTTTGGTTCTTATATACAAGACAAAGGCCAAGCTATTGATTTTGGGGACTATACTGACATTGCGGTGAGTATTGAGATGATGCATAAGTAGAGTTTGTAAATAGGTGATCAATATATATTCTGCCATCCTTTCTTTTCCTTTATTTTTTAAAAAAGAGTTATTTTATTTATTTGAAAGGCAGAGTGTGTGTCTGTGTGTGAGAAAGAGAGAGAGAGATCTTCCATCTGCTGGTTCACTCTCCAAATGTCAGGTCCAGATTGGGATGTGGCAGGTGTCCAACCACTTGGGTCACCTTTATGCACTTCCCAGATGCATTAGCAGGGCAATGGACTGGAAGCAGAATAGCCAAGACTGGTACTGGCGCTCTGACAATGTTGCAAGTGGAAGCCTAACCTTCTACATTGTCAGCTCCTCTTTCTATCAGAATAACTTCTGTTTGATCATAAGATCATGAATTCCTTAGTCTTAAAGGCACATTAAGACCACTTGGTTCAGTTAGTCATCAACAGATCTTTTTTTTTTTTAATCATTTTTAATCATTGCAAGCAATCATGATTCCTCCATTAGAAGCTTTTATTGCCTGCCCAAGCAGCCAGTAATCTATTTTGTTTAGATTTAACTCATGCTTCTCTTATACTGAAATTGAACTGCTCACCCTTAAACTTCCATTTTTAATCCTAACATCTAACACTTGATGCTGTATAAGAAACAATCTAAACTGGTTTTTACTGCATGGTAGCCCTTCAGAGAGTTGAAAATAGTTATTTTATCTTTCCGTGTTTTTAATCATCCAGACTATCTCACCATGGTAATATTGACTACTGTTAAAATGATGTTTTTATTTTCCTCTCCTCAAAATCTCCTCAAAATCAAAAAACTCTGCCTCATAGGCAGTGGGCAGAGTGGCTAGGACATGGCTAGGAAGTCAGATGAACCTTTGTTTTGAATCTGAGCTATCACTTATTAGCTGCAAGCCAGCAATTAACATTCCAATGTCTTTGTTTTTTTTTTTTTATGTAAAATGGATACTATTAACAAAAGATATTCTGTGGGGTATATTGGGAGGGTAAAGACTGTGTGTTTAGCACACCTGACAGTGGCCTGTGAAGTGTCTGTTGGTGGTTATTGAGCCTGACAGCCAGATGTAGCCTGTATGCTGCTAAATTAAGAAGTACTCCTCTTGTTCTGGAAATAGTAGTTATCAAACCCATGTAGTCTTAGACAGAATTAGGCTTTGTGGGGCTTACTCCGTTCAACTCTCTCTCCTTCCATTTGGAGTCCATAATGCCAGAGACATACAAGGTTCATCAAAAAGTTCATGGGAAATGAAGTTACAAGATAGTTTATTTTGCTGAAGACATTTTTGAGATCCATACACAGTTTTGTTACAACATGCGTTTTCTATGAATTTTTAAAATACCCCTCCTGGCTATGAATTTCTATTTCTTTTTGGACCCATATAAATAATATTTTCACTCAGTTTCTACAAGCTTAAAGAAAATCTTTTAAAAGCGTATCTATTTGAGGAGTTAGATGAGAGAGAGAGAGTGAGAGTTTGTGTGTGAGAGGGAGAGAGATACAGAGAGAGGGACAGATAGTGGGGAGAGTTCTCAATTTCTGGTTCACTGCCCAAATACCTGCAACAGCAGAAGCCAGGAGCTGAGAATGTGATCGAGACTCCCCCACGCACTCATATTTAGACACATTTATATCCAAAACTGTAGATGAAAAATAAACCACAGTAGCATTTGATTTGTTTCATTTGGATTATTAAACTTGAAAGCATGCAAAATTAAAATATTAATAAATTCAAATTGTATGCTTTGAAGTAATGGTATATTTTAAGTAATGTGGGTCTCAATGTTTTAATTCCTCTGAATTGTCTAATGCAATCCACAGTGGCGCTGTATTGAGTCTGTCTCTGAAGGATGCAGACCATTGATACCCTGTCAGCCTACCCAGCCCCACCCTACAGCCGTGAAGTTTGTTATCTCAAGCCTCTCAACACAACAGGACAGCTCCGCAAGATGCCTACGGAGCTCTTCGTAAAAAACACTCAAGGATGTTGTCACATCAAGTCCCAAATCCCATCCCCCCACTAATTTGGAAAAGAGTAAAACCTCACTTTCTGTTCTGTACTGAATAAATCTCACTGCAGGGGAGGGCTTTATAGTGCACCACGTTAAGCCTCCACTTGAAACCCACATATCCCATATGGAGCAGGTTCCAAGTCCTGCTCTGCTTCCAATCCAGCTCCCTGCTAATGCACCTGAGAAATGGTGGAAGATGTTCCCCAAATAGTTAAGTTCCTGCCACCCACATGGGAAACCTGGAAGAAGCTTCTGCTTCCAGTTTCATAATCCAAATGAAAACAAATAAAATGCTACTGCGATTTATTTTTCATCTACAGTTTTGGCGATAAATGTGTCTAAATATGAGTGCATGGGGGAGTCTCGATCACATTCTCAGCTCCTGGCTTCTGCTGTTTTCATCCTGGTCCAACCCTGGCTGTTGTAGTCACTTAGAGTGACTCACAGGATTGAAGATTCTTTCTAATCCCTTTTCATATAGATAAATAAATATTTTAAATGGTCTAGAATCTCATATGGAAGTTACCTTAATAGACACTGTGTTCTTCTGTGGTGCTTCCTACCTTAATCTCCAGGTTTCTGCTCAGTTCAGTGGCCACTACATGCTCAGCCCTAGATGTTCAGGTACTTGACAGATACAGTTTCCATGCTGAATGACCTATTGATGGAGTTAAAGTGGCTGTGAGGAGTTAGATGGGCTAATGGCTAGGCCACTGGACGGCAGTTACGTCAGTTAATTACACTTAGTTTTATGAAGCTAGACAGGATAGTAATCTCTGCTTTCTGATGAGCTGTTATTCTGTTCCTCCCCTGATTGGTTAACCCTAGGTTTGATTTTCAGAAAGCAGACATCAGAGAGAGAGCCACTCCATGTTTGCAGAAGCAGACCCTGGCAAACTTCTTTGGCAGCTCCTCCCTCAGAGCCCCCCTCCTGGCTGCTGTGGTGGGAAGTTCCTTGCTTTCAATAAATCTTACTGTGCTCCCTGGCCCTGTCTGCATGGAAACTCTTCGACGTGAGACCAAGATCATCCTTATCCTCATCCTCTTGCAACATTGTAGGGTACAGCCTAACTGGGGAGCACAAAAACCAGCCAGCATTTGTTAATTTTACTTGCATGAAGTAAATTTTGAATTGTGTGAGAACTTTAAATTGCTTCCCCTTCATAAAATGGAGACTCCCTCAATGTGTTATCATCAGTCCTAACACCCTCTGATGCACTCTGAGAATATGGGATTCATGACAACAACAAAATACCTTGCAAAGTGTAGTAAGTCATCAAAGCGTTATTTAGGATGAAGACTTCCAATCACAAGCAATTGATAAGACAGTTACCGTGTCAACCACACAACAGCCAATGTGCCTCAGAATGGTTGGAGCTATGAAAATGGTGTCAGTTGATGGGAGAGGGAAAACAAACCCATGGAGAAAGACTTGCCCTCAACCAATCTGCAATGAAAAAAGGAAGCTTAGGGGTTTAACTCTGGGCTTGGAATACTGACTGGGACTACTCCTGGGAAACATTTTCCTTAAACTGAATACTTTCACAGTGAACATGCAGCAGGGAAAAGAATACAGGTGCATGCAAATGGAGCCATAAGTAAAACACAAAATAAATATATATATAATCTGAATTAAGAGAGAGTGGGCACAAGGATGACAATTCCCACCCAGTGATTCAAGGAGGAGGAAAACTATTGGATTCTAAACCCATGAGAAGCTAAATGAAGAAACATCATTCCATATGAGAAATTTGACTTTGAGAGCAGGACTTTTAACTCTTCATCAGCTGAGGTCTTAGTCTTGCCTTGTCTGTTGTCACCATAGAAGAAATGCAGCGTATCGGAAACCATAAGTTTAGTACTTGTGAGGTGCAAGGCCAAAGACGTTCAACAGGTACAATTCAGAACACATGGAATCTTTCACATTGAAACATAGGACAGAAAGGTGGAAGAGGAGTTTTTCTTGTTTTTAGCTTAATGTAATATCCAAACGAGTAGAATGTAGATGGCAGTGATTTCTGAATACACTTATTTTTAAGCGGGAAGATATGGTTAAAGCTTCCCACAATAGAAGAGGAGGTACCAAATTTCTTAGGTGGCTGTCACAGTCAAAACATTGGGATAATAATAATAATACCTGCTTTAGAAGATTGTTGTAGTTACCATAATGCATGTGTAGGCTTAGAACAATGCCTGACAAATACTAATCCCTCAAAAACTTATCTGTTATTATATCTAAAAGTAAAGCAGAACCAGCTCACAAAATCTGAAAATACTACCTGCTTTTCCTTTCAGTTTCTGTCCAAAAGTGTAAAAGAGGAATAAAATATATAACAGGAAGGAGTCAATTTCCAAGTAGTAAAAATAATCTGCTTTTCTGGGTAAAGATGGTAAAATGAATAGGACCATGTTGGGTCTTTCCTACCCACTCTTTTCTAGCTTCCCCCTTAGAGTATCTAACAGGATAAAGAACAGAGGAAAGAAAAAGAGGTTTGATCTATCTCGATATTTTTACGAAATGTCTGAAAGTTAAGGCATCAAAAGGGGGTACAGATTCATTATAAAAGGGCTAAGTCCAGAAGGAAGGAAAGGCAAGCTGAACACTGCAGAAACACTTCTGGGTGACAGGTGTAAGGAAGGGAGCAAATGTGATCCATGGAAGAGCTGGTGGAAACACTCAGGTGCTGGACATCCCCCATGTAGAAACACCCTAAAAAATGGGTGATGACCATCCTGAATGGCGGGAAGAAGATTCAGCATCCTAGCAAGAACAACCATCCTGCCTTCCTTGAAGTCTGCCAAAATAATGTGAGGGGAAAAAATCCCTCCAGTTCACAAAGGAGGTTTGCCAAAGTTGCAATTCTTCCCTCCTTCCGGAAAATGGGAATTCGTTCCCATGATGTTTCTCTCTGCCTAGATAAGTTTTTCCTTACTCTTTCTGATCTCAGTATTCTTTCTGAAGGCTCCTCCTCAATAAGGCCAACCTTCCTTGTGGTCCTCACAGTATTGGGTGAAGTGTCTCTCCTGGGGTGTTGGTTTTAGTGAGGGAAGCCTTGAAAAGGCAGTACTTGAGCTAAGTGAATGACACCTGAAGTGCACCATAGCATCTGTCCCAGGTTCTGGATGCAGAAATCCTTATGGAGTTCCAAGCACTCTAGCTCCAGCATCACTGAGCATTCAAAACAATAGACATTCACCTGCGTTTCTCTCTACTGTCACATTTGTCTAGCTCCAGCCCCACTTACCTAAGAAATAGTTGTTCTACCAGAAAGATCTTTCTAGCATGGAATCTCCACATGCTTCTAAAGGTCTCTCAGATCCAGTTAAGCAATATTCTCAAACACTCCTTTGGGGAGGGGTTGATACTGCTGCTTCCTCTTGAGAAATGTCATTGTCATTTTTTTTTCATTTCAGCAGCGGTCCTCAAGTTTTGGTGTGTGGGGAGAGTGTCTAGAAAGCATGGGAAATGACAAAGAGCTCAGCTGCCTGGGTGATCCTCGTGCCCAAACTGACAAATGAGTCGTCAAGAAGTTTTATTAACAACCAGCTGAAAATATGACTTATAATAATACAATGTTGATGCAATCACACAATGTTTTCCTTAAAATCTTTGAGGAGGTGAATCTTAGTTTGAATAAAAATATCCAAGTGCACACAGAAAACTTAATATTAGTTTATTGTCATCTAAGTAGAATAGCATAGCTTTTTTCCAACATTCATATGAACTTGAAAATAACAATAAAGTGTGCTAAGTCAAAAAAATGATTCCCTGGGCCCCCTCTTAACTAGTCATCCCTGTTTTAAAACATGAGATACAAGTCATCAATTTCACTGTGACTTAGCAATTTATTTACACAGTTTTACTGCTTTGGACAGAACACAGCTGAGTTTTGAGCTTGATGAAATATTGTTATCCACATAATTCATTTTCTGCTGCTTCAACAAGGTGTTTGGATTTGTGGGAGCTCCCATTTCAGGTTGAAATTGAATTGAAAATTCATGGGAAGACTCTCCAGATGAGGCGAGTCTGACTATCAGGGAAGTGTCCATTAAATTTACTCTCAACTCTCCGGCATAAAAATCTGCTCCTATGGCCTTGAAAATAGCTCCCATTATCATATCGATTGGAGTCAACAAATATAACTCAAATCTAAAGTGAGAGTAGGTTTATTCCTAGATATTTGTAATAAATTTCCAATATATATTTAATATATTGATCATATTGAGTTTAGTGAAAGTTATTAATGTTTACCATAATGATTTATTGGTTCTTTATGGGCAATCCTCACTTATTAAAGATAGTATTGATTGAACTGAAATTAACAATTCCCTATTAATTTATAATTCATCTTTTAGTAGAAGCCATAAAACAAAACAAAGGCTGCACCAGTCACAGGTTAGTTTAGAAACAGATCTCATCCACAAGGTAGAAATAAGACAGCAACAGCTGTTTTCTCATGGGGTGCCAAGTAACTTCACAGTGGAAAAAAACAGATAGAAGAAAAATGCTTTTCTTCCCCCAAATGGTTTCCTTTTATTTAGAGAAATGGGAGGCAACTTGCTAGAATCTGGGGCTCAAACCATATCCCAATCCATGAAATCAATCCCAACTTGAAGTTCTTTGGAGGATCTGTAGATTTTGGAGGGTATTCCAGCCTCACAAATACAAACAAGTCTTTCTTTATCAGCAGAGGTTATTAAATAGAGAGCCCCTGAGAAAACATGCTTAACACTCTACCAAAAAGAATCTTCCTGTAGGTCTCAGTGGTCCACTCAATAGTATACCCTCTCACAACATGGGGAAAGATGGACACGGTGGAGAGGTTTGCCCTCTGAGCCCCTAAGCCTCACCCACACTCCCACCCCAGTTCTGCTGAATAAGTGCTGTTGGCCAGAACCTATGGAACACATTGCCCTTTGAGGTGAATGCCCCTCATTTAAATAAATGAACAAATCCAAGGATCCAGAGAGCAAATACAGAGATCACAGAGCAGGTGTGGCACTGAGTTAGTGGTGATGACAGAGTTGGAGACACGGCCTGTCCTCCTAGAAATGTTCTCCCCAGAATGCACTGTCTCCATGGGCAGTTTTATAAAACCACAAGGACTTCTCAGGGAGGTAATCGTGAAAGAGGAGTTGAGGAGCACCACCGGACTAAAGAATGAGAAAGTCGTTGAATGAGCTAAAAACATGAGTTCCTAAGATTGACTTGATTGGATTCTTGAGGTCAATCCCTGCTGTGGATGTTGAAGGAGAACATTGATCTGTTCTTCATGCTTAAAATGTAGATAAAGATAGTGTCTACATCATCACATTGTTAGGCTATGTAAAGTGCTGGAAAAAAAATTCATGGAAGATTTTTTATTGTTGATATTTGTTTAATATCATACTAATTATTCCTATTACATCAAAATGTGTCACCAAAATAGTAAACCTGTACCCCAAGTCCTGTTTTGATATTTATGAGCTTTTACTTTGGGCAAGTTATTTGACAAAATCTCCCCATCTGTGCAAGCTATAAAAAGTAGATAAATCCATCTTTTTTCAATTCTGTTACGAGTACAAAGTGACATGATATGTGTAAAGCATGTGGCCCCTAATAAACAGGCAAAATGTAATTTCTATTCCTTATGATATGGGCAAAAAGTGGGAAGAAATTAGAAATTAAAAATCTATGACGATTTTTCTTTCAGCATATAACAAACAACTCAGTGGCGTTTGTGCACTAAATGGAACCTGAATACCTTAAACTAAACATGAGTAGTGAGAATGGAGATGGCTAGCCAAGAAAGATTATCACTGCAAGTGTTAGGGAAAGCAATGTATGAATAAAATACCTTCATTTTCCAACCACAGATAAGAGCTCTTCAAATAAGATCAGTTGAGTGTTCATGAGCAGATGCCCTCTTCCATATGGTAAACCTCAGGAATCCCCCTTTCTTCCATTCTGGTAATTAGAGTTCATTCTTTTCAGTAGGCTGAAGTTGTGTGTTCAAGCAAATGGCTCATATGTTACTCTCCATAATCAGTAGTTGGTAACAACATCGCTCATTCTTGTGAGGTATCAATATCAAACATACCACTAATGAAGTGCCAAAAACTAAGTTCAAACTGGCTCAAGAGAAAGGTTAATGAGAGAACAGTAGTTGCAGACATTGCTCATCCAGCAGATCAAAAGACAGCAAGTCTCTGCCTCTTTTTCTTGGCTCAAAAGATCAAGATTGAGGATAAAAAGGACTTTCAAGACCATCAAACTTTCTTAATGCACCATAAGGGGAAGACATCTCAGAAATGTCCTGTAGCATCCTTCTCTTTCCATGTAGTTCTAGAATTTTCCCAATTACAACCAGCTAACCAGAGAAGATTTTCATCTGTTACGGAGCCAATCAGGGTAGTCAGAGGACTGGAATTACACTGAATTATAGATTAAAGGTATCTAGTTTGAAGATTGATTCTGGAAAGGTTTCTAAGCATGACTCCCTTTCCCAAATGACTGCCTTTTGAACAAAGTGTTGGCACTTTGCACAATAATTGAAGGTTATTGGAGTTAATAGAAGGAGGGTAAGATGTATTGCTTTTGGAGTTTAAAGTTGCACTTAAAAGCCTTTTCTGGAAATTTAGTTTCCAACATTGTTACACTTTATCGTGGGGAGTGCAAATGGTGTCTAAACATGAAAGCAAGAGAGCACAAAATAAATGAGAACCTGTTAAGGTCAGTAGACCAGGAAAAGGAAGGAGCAGGGTTTCCCCAAATGCTAATCTGCAAAAGGATGTTTGCTTCTAGGTACAAACTACAGCCATTAAGATCATATGTAGTTACCTTCTCTTGAAGCTAGAAAGTTCGGGTGGGCAGGAAGTGAGACATCATTGCACATTTTTCAATCTATGACTTCTGTTAGTTCCCCTGAGGCTACCTCACTGACAGGACACCCAGATTAAAACATTCAATTTGTTTCCTGATTCCTGTTCAATTTTTAATATTCTATTAGCATTCAAATACCTTTGTGACGCAGAGGGCTTTTTCCTTCTGGACAGAGAGAGGAAGATGATCAGTAGTATGAGAGTCTTCTCTGGGGTCTTGAGTGGGTCTCAAATTAGACTTGCTCTATTTATTTAAAAAGAATCCTTAATGTGAAAGGTGCAACCATTGATAAATGGTTTTTACCCTGAGCTCCTGACAGCTGCATTCCCCATGGATCCTCTCCTATGAGGCCCTATGGTGACCTACATGACAGGAAGTTGGCCCCCCTATTTGGGCACTTGGTTGAACTATGGATTGGAAATAATTGAGGGGAAGGGTTCAGCCAGTTCTATGGTGGGTGTATGTACTGGGCTCATGTGCAAGACAGTAGGTCAGGAAAGTTCAGAAAAATCTAAACTTAATGAAGGGCATGGACACCTACAGCAAGGCCAGTTAGTCAGAGCCCCATGGGCTTTTAATGTTCTCATCCACAAGCTGTCATCATGATACAAGAAAACATCAGGGGAGAACTTCATTGACACAAGCCGTAGAACCCTGGGCAGAATGCCAGGACCAAGATGCATCATCATTTTCTTGCCAAATGCCAGTGCTCTTAGGATGTATGTTAGAGTTTTTGTCCTCACACAATTTTCTACCATACAGACAGTGCTCTCCTTTGTGTATGCTATTGGGGTAGAGGGCATTCTGCCAGGTGGGTACATGTATCCACATGTTCCATTAACTGGTTCACTCCCCTACTGCCTGCAATAGCCATGGTTTGGCCAAGCTGAAACCAGGAGCCCAGAACTCTACCCAGGCCTCCCACAACATGTTGCAGGATACTTGGGCCATCATGTGCTGCCTTGCAGTTTGCCCATTAGCAGGAAGCTGGATCAGAAGCAGAGTAACTGAGACTTGAACCAGGCACTCTACTATGGGATATGGGTGTCTCAAGTGCTGATGTAAATGCTGTACCAAACACCTGCCCTCTGCAGATTGTTAAACATTTTGACTGTCTACCCCACATGAGAATGCTGGCCCTGCCCTATTGGAGATCCTGATTTGGAAGACGTTTTGGAGCTCTCAATTTATAAATAAGAATTACATATATATTACAGTCGGGAATGAAATATATATTATACATATGTATATGTGTGTTTGCATATATATATATATTTGTTTTGTGTGAAAAAGAAAGGATTAGATTTGAAAAAGGGGGTTAGGTTCAGTGGCAGAGAATGAGGACTGGGGAGGACTGGGACAAAGAAATGCATCCTTGGCTGAAAGAACAAAAGCAGTAAAAGCAGTGAGATCTCTTGGGTTGATGTTAAGTTGAAAAGATTTTAAACTGGCAGTTCCCAGGCCCAGCTTGGGCAATTTATTCTCTGCCCAGCTCTGGGTTTTCCCTTCACAGTACTTTTTAAAAATAATTATGTTCCCTTAGTTCAAGGTTATCTTGTAATTTTTAAAATAATTCATTTTAGGTCAACGTTTAGATTTCTTCCAAATTGTTGTTGTTGCATATAAACAATCCTGACAAATGTCTCATACATAAACGGTATTTCCCAATCTCTGAATTGTGGGAAGGGAGGAAAGATAAAGTCATAGAGGCAGAAAGGCTGGATAAAAAAGATATGGGTGCTCTAATTTTCAGGAAACATATGGCCAATTTATCCCCTGTAAATGT